GCGTCAGTCCGATGATCCACGTGTCATTTAGAGCCGATCGTATGTACATGGCGAAGTAATGCATTTCGTCATTTCTACCCCAATGCGGTTCGGTCAGCAGCCAGCATTCATAGAGTTCATCATGTTATCGTTTTTAGTCAGTATTCACATGATGAAACCATATAAATTATAGAATAACAGTAAAAACATACAGCAGAAAAAACATGTGACTGCCTCTTAAAGTGGGCGGGGCTACAGTGAGGTCATCAAGTGACCATGGAAATGTGTTCAGGGCTGTTCTCTAGAAAGACAGAGGAAGTGTGATGATGCAGCTGTGATCTTGCATTTGGAAGTCATTTAATGTTGATCTTTCATGGTAAATAGTGAAAGTTACACTAAGCCACACCCACATGCTTGATGTTAACTACAACTGAGATCTAAATGCAGTGCAACTTTAACGTTATCGTGAATTGAGTCAGGAAAATGGTGAAGGTTAAGATGTATCAGTTTAATAAACCGCACTGTTCAGTAATAAACCAAGGGCAATGCACAATAACAGAGCACAGTTAACTTTCAGCACATTAGAACAATAGCACAGGCTGAATCCCATCCATTAATTAGGTATTAATCACAGGAAGTGCTGCAACTAAATATTACAACCCCAATGGATCGGTAAAAAGATACTTAGCATTTTTTCAGAGCTCTTTCAAACGACATTTTAAACATCTTCTATACATAATAACAAACAAACTCTCAATGTATGAAACTGGATGTATCACACACACTATTCAGTTTATTGAATTAGTAAAGCGCTTCGTTAGCATTAAAAACGTTGCAGGCCTCAGGCATTGGGTTAGCATCCTCCTCAGAATAACTGTTCCAAACATGACGGCTTCCAGAACCAGCAGGAAGGAATAAATTACTCACCGCACCGCGAGTTACGACTGTTTAAACGAACAGCAATGGGCTCTTTGCACCTGCCGCGCTGACGTGACAACTGTATTCCCGAATGCGGCTCTTTATTCCACTTTCAGAAACTATGACTGCTATAAAAGACAAAGTCGTACTTAAGACACAAATAAAACAATACTATGTACTTTGTTTAGGTTTTCATGGATTTCCAAGCCATCCTCAATTAAGACAGCTTGTAAATATTCGTTGCTACAAGTTAAAGCTACCACTTGAAGCTAACGCCTTACACACCGCTCTAAACACCGTCTTAATGAGCCATTCACAAACAAGCATGCAAAAGTAATAAAATGAAATAACACAGAAATCTTAAGCAACACGGCCATATTTTTCTAAAAGTAATAACTCTGAATCTGAACAGTCAGCTGAACTAGAACTCCGATACCAGAGTAAGCTCTGTGCTCGTTTTTCTTCGTCATACTTCAAGCAAAAACTCTGAACTGTAATCGGCCCCCCCCCCCCTCCTCGCTGCTTTATTGTCGTTAACAATAAACACACGTAATATGCTTGAAAATAAGGCACAAACAGTGTCCGTTAGAATGGCTGAGAAATCTTTAGATAATTAAATAGCAGAATTTTACAAGACAAATGTCCGAAAATAATCCTGCTAGCACAAGCTAGCAGGCTTGTGCTAGCAGTTTAAAAAAAATAAAACTCACCTTCATATCTGTGAATGTATAACGAGGCGAACATCTTAAAACTTATCTCCGGCTTACTTGTTTGGGCTTCGGATCGACGTACATTATTAATTGTTACCTTGGAAAAACATTTGAGCCGTAACGCGGAAGCTGAGGTGCAAAGAGCCCATTAAACTGCTCCAACTCCGGTCCAACAGAGCCTTCTTGCTCAAAAGCGTGGTTCGGATTTGCAACTCCAAAATCCAAGCAAAATGTTGAGCGTAGTCCAGTTCTGTGGCTCCAAAAAGCAGGCAAAATGTTCAGGAAAACTTTGCAGCTCCAGCTGTCGCCGGCTGACTGTTATCACGTAGCGTCAATCTGTTTTCTCATTGATGGAGTACCACTGCCTCCTGCTGGTGCAATACTGGTATTGCACCAGCTGTAGTATTTTGTCACAAGGGGCCAGTGGTACTCCATCAACACTGATCCCAGTGTGTTTTTACTTCGCTGTTTCATATGTTTTGCTGAATGACTTTTTTTGTATTATTTCTAGCAAATGAATGAATGTTTGTACTTTAACCCACAAAATAAACATATATCTATAAAAAGTTATAATAATGTATATTTAAATAATTAATAACAACATAACCTATGGGCTGCTGTTTTCTAAGGGGAGCTATAGAGAATTAGGCCACGCCCTACAAATATTGTGATGGATTCCTGTAAGGAGTGTATTAGGATCCATCCTTGTGAGTTTGGAGCAGCTGGGCCCGAAAATGTGGAATTCAGAGCCAAACGTATGGCGATGGCGTTACAGGTCACTTTGCCACGCCGCCACGCCCACCTGCTCCATCGTAGCTGGTCGGGATTAGAATCCTAAACACACCAACATGTCTTCTGTGTCTGGGCACAGTTTCATGTTGATGAGGTCAAAGGGTCAGATAGCGACCATTGACAGTAAAACATTACACTTCCTGTTCTCAGGGGGCGTGGCCTAAGTGATGTCATCATTCGACCATAGGTATTGTCGGGCAGCCGATGATGATCAATCACAGTAACTTTGGTGCCTCTGTGAGTTTCTGTGTAGGAGATATAGCAGTTTATTTTTTTACAGCGAGTAGGTGAACTTTGACCCCTGCTAACTCCCCTTCAGCATTCTCAAAAACTCACCGTTTTGATAACTTCAGATGGGACATGCCTTATTAACGGACTGACCGAGTTTGAAGACGATCAATCAAAATCCCTAGGAGGAGTTCGATCAAATACGGAGGCTGTAAACGGCAAAAATGGGGTCAAAATCTGAACTTCAATCTAAAATGGCCGACTTCCTGTGGGGTTTAGACCATGGCTCCAAGAGACTTTTTTGTAAGTCCTGACAAGGTACACATGTGTACAACGTTTCGTAATTGTAGGTTAAAGCATGGCTTGGGCTGATCATTTAAAATTTTCTATGGGGCGCTATAGAGAAATTAGGCCACGCCCCACAAATATTGTGATGGATTCCTGTCGGGGAGTTGATGGCGATCCATCCTTGTGAGTTTGGAGCAGCTGGGCCCGAAAATGTGGAATTGAGAGCCAAACGTATGGCGATGGCGTTAGAGGTCACTTCGCCGCCACGCCCACCTGCTCCATCGAATCTGGTCGTGGTTGGAATCCTCAACACACCAACATGTTTCTGTGTCTGGGCACAGTTTCATGTTGATGAGGTCAAAGGGGTCAGATAGCGACCGTCCACAGTAAAACATGACACTTCCTGTTCTCATGGGGCGTGGCCTAAGTGATGTCATCATTCGACCATAGGGTATTGTAGGAGACCCGATAATGATCAATCACAGAAACTTTGGTGCCTCTGTGAGTTTCTGTGTAGGAGATATAGCAGTTTATTTTTTTATGGCGAGTAGGTGAACTTTGACCCCTGCTAACCCCCCTTCAGCATACTCAAAAACTCACCGTTTTGATAACTTTAGATGGGACATGCCTTATGAACAGACTGACCGAGTTTGAAGCCGATCAATCGAAATCCCTAGGAGGAGTTCGATAAAATACGAAGGCTGTAAACGGCAAAATGGCCCCAAAATTGGACCTTCAATCCAAAATGGCTGACTTCCTGTGATACTTGCACTATGACATTAATTGTAAATTTTGAGCATCTTGGGGAGCTCTACAAGTGTACCAAATTTCATGTCTCTAGGATAAAGTAAGTGAATAGCAAAGGGTCCTTTGAAAATTTGTAGGTGGCGCTATTGAGCCATTTTTTATGGGATTTTTGCAATGACCTTAAAATACAAAATTTTGAAACTCCCTTTACGCGTCCGCCAAGTTTGGTGAGTTTTTGAAAATGATAAAGCCCCCAAAAGGCCCCTCTTTAGGGGGGCAGAATAATAATAAGAAACAGTAGGAAAACAATAGGCCTTCGCAGCGCTTAGCTGCTCGGGCCTAATAAGAAACAGTACAGAAACAATAGGCCTTCGCAGCGCTTAGCTGCTCGGGCCTAATAATAATAATAATAATAATAATAATAATAATAAACAGTAGGAAAACAATAGGCCTTCGCAGCGCTTAGCTGCTCGGGCCTAATAATAATAATAATAAACAGTAGGAAAACAATAGGCCTTCGCAGCGCTTAGCTGCTCGGGCCTAACAATAGGCCTTCGCAGCGCTTAGCTGCTCGGGCCTAATAAGAAACAGTACAGAAACAATAGGCCTTCGCAGCGCTTAGCTGCTCGGCCTAATAAACAGTAGGAAAACAATAGGCCTTCGCAGCGCTTAGCTCGGGCCTAATAATAATAAACAATAGGAAAACAATAGGCCTTCGCAGCGCTTAGCTGCTCGGCCTAATAATAATAAACAATAGGAAAACAATAGGCCTTCGCAGCGCTTAGCTGCTCGGGCCTAATAAACAGTAGGAAAACAATAGGCCTTCGCAGCGCTTAGCTGCTCGGGCCTAATAATAATAAACAATAGGAAAACAATAGGCCTTCGCAGCGCTTAGCTGCTCGGGCCTAATAAACAATAGGAAAACAATAGGCCTTCGCAGCGCTTAGCTGCTCGGGCCTAATAAGAAACAGTAGGAAAACAATAGGCCTTCGCAGCGCTTAGCTGCTCGGGCCTAATAAGAAACAGTAGGAAAACAATAGGCCTTCGCAGCGCTTAGCTGCGAAGGCCTAATAATGTGATAAATCTGATCCTACAGTTTTACTGACGGCTGATAGAAACTCAACGAGTTTCTGTCGATTTGTCAGTACTGACTGAGAACTACAGAACTATTAGTACTGTTGAACTATTAGTATTACTATTACAGTAATATTAATACTTACTGTATTATCATAATATTAATATAGTACTGTAACTGAGTACTACAGAACTAGTCATAATCAGTACCTACAGTAGTAATCCAGCCGGTTCTGGTCCGTTCTCACTAAGTTACCTGAGCTTTTCCCGTAGTACGGATAGTACATGAGGTTAAAGGTCGCGTTAACAGGAAAGTAGGTCAGAGGTCCCATCTTCTCTCTGTCCTCCTTCTGCAGACAAACAACATGAGACGTTCAGGAACCACTGGACAAATCTATCTATCTATCTATCTACTATCTATCTATCCATCCATCCATCCATCCATCCATCCATCCATCCATCCATCCATCCATCCATCCATCCATCCATCCATCCATCCATCCATCCATCCATCCATCCATCCATCCATCCATCTATCTATCTATCTATCAGTCAGGACAGAAATCAATCAGTGAACGAGTTTCTGCCAAGTCCCGACTGCAGATTTATTATCAGTACTGACTGGTATTAATATGATGGTAATATTAATACTGACTGTATTATTATACTATAATAATATAGTATTATAACTGAGTACTACAGAACTAGTTGTACTCAGTACCTACAGTAGTAATCTAGCCGGTTCTGATCCGGTTTCTGAGTTACCTGAGCTTCCTTCCTGTTTCACATCAACCAGTTTGAGCTGCTGGTTCATTTCAGCCAAAGACAGAGTTACACTGTTGACCAGCTGGTCATAATGTTCTGCCTGGTCTGTTTCTATAGAACCCTATAGAATAAGGATCTAATACTGCAGATCTATAGATACCATCTGCTACATGCATCACCACTCAGCGTTATCCTCTGTAAAGATGGAGACACAGATGGACAGACATGGACAAAGACAGGTGGACGCACTCTGACCTTGGCTCCACAGGTGACATAAGGAGACTGTCCGTCCTTCCCAGGTAACATCCCGATCACCTGCAGAGATGGTGGAACGATTGGGTCAGTGAGGCGGCTCTGCAGCGCCACCATCAGGAGGTTCAGAATAATGCAGCTCTGCAGCGCCACCATCAGGAAGTTCAGAATAATGCAGCTCTGCAGCGCCACCATCAGGAGGTTCAGAATAATGCAGCTCTGCAGCGCCACCATCAGGAAGTTCAGAATAAAGGAGTCCAACTCTTCACCTGCAGGTCCCAGTAAAAACCAGCTGATCCTGAACACCTGCTGGTCTCCAACCAGGAAGTAACTACAGTATTAATGCATCCGGTTCTGGTCCGTCTTCCCATTTCACATCAACCAGTTTAAGCTGCTGGTTCAACCAAAGGCAACTCAGAATAAAATTTATCAGATTAAACCCAGATTAGTTTATTATTTTAATAAAGTTTCTAAGGAAACTCAGCAGATCTTGACCTTTGCAGCAATTCCTCCTCCTGAGCAGCAGGTGGCGACAGTGGAGAGGAAAACTGAAACGAATCGAATCACGAAACAATTTTAAACTTTAACTTATAAAAATCTATAAAATCACTTAAATCTTTGGACCTCAACAGAACAACTTGTGGCTTGATTTGGAAAGACTTGTGACAGCAAACAGGAAGTGTGATGTCACAAACAGGAAGTGAGTTCTGGGTTCAGCCATCTTAGACTTCAGTCCCAGACTTGACCTGTGGATCACTGGACCGAGTCGAAACCAGCTGGACGGTACCAGAACGGTTCCACCAGCTGAAGGTTTCCTTCCTCTATGAATCATGGAGTTCCTCAGGGATCGGCTCTTGGTTCAGAGTTTTTTGTCTAAAATCTACTTCCTGTAGATTTTTAAAAACGGCCATCTTTATCCGTTGCTATGGAGACGACCGGCAGCTTTACATAAATCTGAACTTTTAACTCTTAAAGTCTCAACGTTTGGATAACGAGCAGCAGACGGATTAAATCTGATCTTCCTCTAACAGACAAACAGCTGGATGTTTCACCTGGATGCTTCACCTGGATGTTTCACCTGGATGCTTCACCTGGACAGGTGCGTACCGGATCAGAACCCGACCTACCCGGTTAAGTTTGATCAGGATGCAGGGCTGGGCTTTGCTGTAACCATAGGAACGGTCCTCCATCCCTGAGCAGTCGCCCAGCATGGTGCGGTTGAACCGACAGGAGCGTTTGGGATTGTTCCTCACCTGGAGACAGGAAGGGGCGGAGTCAGAACCCAGAACCAGCCCGGTTTGGACTTTACTACTGGACCCGGTCCATTTGGTTCTGATCTCAGAACACTGAAGATCAGAATCAGCAGAAGGTTCAGAAAGGAACAACAGAGGTCAAAGGTCAGAGAGGAATCCAGTCTGACCCGAGTTTCTCTGACATCAAACTGAGGTTCTGGTCCAGGACCGGTCCGACTGGTTCTGGTTCCAATTAGACACCAGAGCTCTGATTGGTCAGCAGCAGGTGAACAGGTGACCTCTGACCCCCCTACAGGTGAGAGCAGCGGTTTACCTCTCCCACTGTCCTCCTGGATGAAATATTGATCAGGTGGACAGTCGTCGTTCAGCTGCACCTGGTGGCTGTCGTTGTAGGCTGGACAGGTGAGAGAAGCTCAGTCAGAACCACTGAGACACCTGAACAGGTAAACATTCAGTCACAAACTTTTCCAGGTATGTAAACTTCTGGTCTCACAGGTCAGGAAGGCATTGAGGTTCTGGACGAAGCCGTTCCAACTGTCTGGGTCCGAAACAGAATACTGATCTCCAGCTGGTCGCCTTTAGGACGGATCATCATACCTGGAGCAGGAGAACCAATCAGGAAGCAGCTCGTTAGAGTGAACCAATCAGGAAGCAGCTTGTTAGAATGAACCAATCAGGAAGCAGCTCATTAGAATGAACCAATCAGGAAGCAGCTCGTTAGAGTGAACCAATCAGGAAGCAGCTCGTTAGAGTGAACCAATCAGGAAGCAGCTTGTTGGAGGAAGCTAAGTTTAGCTTGTAGCTCGTTAGTGATAAATATTCATGAATCTCATGATTATTTTACTGATTTTTGAAAACTATTTTGTGTTTCTGGTTCCTCTGAAGTTTTGGGAAATAATTTGATGAAAATCAGAATCATGAAGGAGAAAAAACTTTATTTGTGTTTCCAGTTAGTACATTTAATTTATAATTTCAATCTGTATGATTTTATAGTTAAAGTAAACTCAGCTGGTGATTGGTCCAGAACTTCTGTAGATTCATACGGTCGCTGAGTTTGACCCGGTTAATCAGAACCACGTTGGGTTCTGGTTCTGTTCTAAAGTAAATCTGATTGATTAGTGATCAGGTTTGGTTCTTGGTTTGTTAATTTTTCCATATTTATCAATATTTAAATTCTTTATACCTGATGAACCCGGTACCGGTACCAGACGGGTCAGAACTTGATCCAGTTGTGAGGATGGAGGGAGGAACCTCAGAGGATGAAAGGAAGCTGAATCCACTTCCTGTATCTACAGACCAGAATGAAGCACTTCCTGTCTCAACAGGAAGTAGTTTATCTCTGGCGTTCTGCTGAGTCGGGTTCTGGTTCCTAGAGGAAACCAGTCTGAACCTCTGGGTCAGTTGGTTCCAGCACCAGTAAAGGTCAGAGGTCAGACCTTAACTCCAACCTGGTTATGATCTCTGACTGAGTTTATTATTATTATTATTATCATTAAACCTCAACATAGAATTTTATATATTTTATGAACTTTATAAAATTAAACTGAATTTATTTTCAGTAAATTTAATAAAGTTTCTGTTTCTCTTCACCTCAGGACAAGAACCTCTGGGTAACCAAGGTAACAGGTGTGTGTCCTCTCACCTGCCAGTGTCACCATGGTAACAGACATGTGTCCTCTCACCTGGTGTCCCCAGTCGGTCCTGCCAGGTGGGTTTGTAGTCGTCCAGCGTCAGCAGCAGGATGAACATGGTGAGAGCGAAGAGTCCAGCCAGGAAGAGATAAAATCAGATAGAAGAGCAGAACCAGGCCTGAGGAAGAGGAGGAGGAGGAGGATGAAGAGCAGCAGATACCCCCCACATTATTACCCCCCACTGCACTACAGCCTCTATTTACCCCATGAAGCCCCTTCAGCTCTCTGATGACCCACATTCATTACCATGACGACAAGGAGCATTAGCAGCTACATGCTAACTAGCATCAATCTGTGGGTTACCATAGCAACAAGCAGGTCAGCTACAGCTGGACCCGGTTACCAGAACCAGAACCGACCCAGAACCTTCAGCTGGGCCGTGTCTGCAGAACCTCATCAGAACCTCATCAGAACTGGACCGGTTCTGGAGAACATCTGGACCGTCTCGGCAGGTTCTGGACACCACCGGGTCAAAACCCGATTCCTCTGACAGAACCGGCCTACAGGTCCAATAGGATCCTATCAGAACCACCGGACCCGGATTCAGTCTCCTCCTCCAGAACCTGCAGGTGGAACCAACCAGAACCAGAACCAGTCTGGGTCAGGGACTCTGAGACTCTGTGATGATTGGCTCCAAGTCTTCGGGTCATGTGACTGTTGCCATGGAAACACCCTTTAAGAGGAGCCTGGTCCAATCAGAGCAGCCGATGGTTTAATCCAGATTAACACAGGGAGGGGGGTCAGCCCCACTGCATCATGGGAGATATTATCCTCAGAAACAGTTACATAAACCCAACAGAACCAGAACCGGGTCAGGCCGGTGTCTGACCCAAAGAGGCGTGGCTTTAACAGACCTGAGAGGTCAGAGGTCACAGCAGAGAGACGCCGAATCCCAAAGCTGAAATCTTTATTAAATGTCTTTTAATCAATAATCAGAAAATATTAATGAAAATAAAACCGTCTCCATGGCAACAGCAAACATCTGATCAATAAATGATAATCAATAATCTCTGCATCACATCAGACCTGCTGGTTCCAGCCGAACCGGCCGGGTTCTACTGAGGTTCTGACACAATTACTGGACCAGAACCATCAGTAAAGCTCGGTGGTGGCAGCATCATGCTGAGGATTCAGTCCAGAATCAACCTGGGTCCAGTGGACCAGATGATTACAGAACCAGAACCAGAACCAGAACCAGACCCAGACCTGGTACCAGATAATCAACTGAAACCTGCAGGTCAGCAGAACCAGAACTAATACTGGACCGGCCCAGATCACCTGGAACCGGGACCAACGTCTGGTGGTTCTGTTGGACCAGAACCCATCCTGGTTCTGGTCCATCAGAACCAGTACGGGTTCTGGTCCATCAGCTGGTTCTGCAAGCAGTCTGACGTCACAGCGGATCAATGAAGTGATGAAGAGGAGGCTCCTCGGCCTTCATCTCTAATAATCAGAATCATGGATCAATAAACTGAGCGGGCGCGCGCACGGCGCCGCGCTCTCACTCACCCCAGCTCGTGCCCGTGCGGCCCAGCAGCTCGCGCGTTCGCGGGTTCCAGAAAAAGTCCCGCCAATCGCTGGAGGCGCGGCGGGAATCCTCCTTTGATCCGGACATGACGCTGAGGATGAGGAGGATGAAGATGCAGCGAGGATCGATCAGGAGGATGAGGAGGGAGATGGAGGTGATGATGAAGGACACCGAGACGTTCAGCCCGGAGCGGTGACGTCATCGGACCAATCACGGAGCGGCTCTCATCGCAGCCCCGCCCCCCGAGGATGACTCACTGTGACGTAACGGAGGGACGTCTCTGGGAGGTTCGTGACTATGACGTCACAATTTCCAGAGGATCAATAAAGTTTCGATCATTTTATCAATAATAATCAATATAAATAGAGTTTATATTGATTACTATTAATCTTTTATGAATAAGAAAAAACAAAATGTAAATATTTTGTTAATATAAATATAAATATTATATATCAGACATGTTTTTTAGCCACTTCTATATTTTATATTCTATATAAATAAAAATATAAATGGAAAATCAACCTCATAAAACAATACTAAATAACAAAGTCAGAGAAATTTCTTATAAAATTATTCATAATGTTTCCAGTTGAAACATTTTTGATTGAAAAAAAGATATAAATGGGTTTTGAACCTTTTTCAGATCTTATTATTGATAAAGCAGAAAAACTTTTTCTCCTAGTGACAAAAAACATCAATAACTTATAATAAGTGAAATAAATAAATTAACACATCATTGAAAGACTGGAATTAAAGGGTCATTTCAACCAAAGCTTTGAAAGATGCTTCAAACTCTTCAACACATTTCAGTTTAGTACATCAGATCATATTCAGAAAGGATTTTTATTGATTTAGTTACAATGAACTCTTTGTGTAAATAGTCTATAATATCTGCACATGTTCACCAGTCAAGGTTTTATTAATAACCTGTCAAATGATCGACGACCTTCAAATTTTCCCCTCATTAAAAAACAAAAAAACAAACAGTTTGATCATTGGGGTGAATCCTGGGGGTCCAGACCCCCAATCTGGAAAAAGCCTAGAATTATGAAAAATCATGAAAGAAAAATTTACATTTCAATAATATCATTATGAAAAGAACAAAAGAAAAAGAACTAAATCTGCCATTTATCTCAGAAAAATAAGTTTGAAGTATCAGCCTGGAGTATCATAAATTTATTCGTAAATATAACTTTCCTGATTTTACTATTGTTTTCTATGTTTTTCCAGCAGGTTTGAAATTTCTCAGATCAACTTCAGGAAGATTCCAGATCCAAGATCCCAGATTTCCAGAGTTATTTATTGGTAATTAGCTGATCCTTAGTGTTAAAACTGGAAATAAACATATTAGAGAAATAATCCAGAGGAATAATGTTAGTAAATCTGCTTCAATCTTTTTTGGAACAATCTTTATTCAGTTATTGATCGGGAACAAACATATTATTGCCAAGAAAGTTTTTAGTCCTAAATAAAGTACGGGAGGCGTCTCTTAAACTTTTACCCAGGTGTTAAATTCAGTCCTGAATAAATATATATAAATAAATATAAATATAAATATAAATATATATAAATATAAATAAATATCTATATATATATATAGATATTGATCCTTTTTTTCCTTCTGTTACATTGAACAAGAAACATTAACCATCTTTTTTGGGAATTTCAGCAAAACATTTTGGGGTGACTTCAATATTTTTGTCATATTGGGGTTTATATTTCTACCAGGGTGATTGTAGGATCTGACCTCTGACCTTTAGGGGCCTGAGCCCCCAGCAGGGGTAAAGACCAAGAGAAGTTA